TGTGGTTTTTGTTTTTTTGTTTTTTTTGTAGTTTCTGGCTAGGCTGGGTTTGAACATGCCACCTCTGGCATATGGGGCTGGCACCTTACTCCTTTGAGACACAGGCGCTGCCCCTAAGTGGCTTTTTTTAATTAGAGAAAGCCAGCATTACAGAGAACTTAAGAGTTGGCCTTGGGGCCCTTCTTGAGTCTCACTATGTTACCCTCGGTAAAGTACCATGGCATCACAGCAACCTCAAACTCTTGGGCTTAAGCAGTTCTCTTGCCTCAGCCTCCCAAGAAGCTGGGACTACAGGCACCTGTCACAACGCCCAGATATTTTTTTTGATGCAGTTGTCATTGCTGTTTAGCAGGCCCGGGCTGGGTTCAAACCCACTAGCCTCAGTGTATTTGGCTGGTGCCCTAACCACTGAGCTACAGGCACCAAGTTGGGGGCCTTTCTTCTTGCCAAAGGTGGACACAGCATTGACAAAGCACTGATTGTATTGCATCCACCTCTTAGCCTGACCTGTCTTCTTCTTCTTCTGTTTGGCCACCTTAGTCAACTTTTCCCTGCTCAGGCCAGTGAACCCTGGACTTTACCTCCGAGCATGCTGCTGGCTACTTCCAGAGTTGTCAGAGCCTCCACCCCACATTAGCCCAGTATAGCCTCATCTTTTAGGGATATGACTGCTAGGAGCATGACTTAATCTTCTGGGCAGTGCCCTCTAGTGAGGCTACATGAACCTTCATCTGGGCAGCTGTCTCTTGGCTGGTCACCTCAAGGGCGTGTAGCTCATGGGCACCAACAAAGAGCTGCACGTTGGTGAGTGTGGAAGGCAGGGCCTGCCAGGGAGTTTGGATCGGAGACTAGATCAGAGTCACAGAGCACACTCGATTTCTCCCATGCCCTCTGACCTTGGGGCCAACACACTTCTAGCCCTCTGAATTTATTTGCTTTTATCCAAGACTTACCTGCACTGCCTTTCAAACTTCATTTTGTGAAATTGTTATTAAAGATGCATGTCTTCCCATGAAAATAACATGGGAACTTCAAGTAGCTGGTTGAGGCCTGAAGGGTAACATGCATAGTTAGGGACTTGGGTTTTAGAAAACAGCAATTATAAGGCCGGGCACAGTGGCTTACTCCTGTAATCCTAGCACTCTGGGAAGCTGAGGCAGATAGATCACCTGAGCTCACAGGTTCAAGACCAGTCTAAGCTAGAGTGAGACCCCTGTCTCTAAAAATAGCTGAGTGTTGTGGTGGGCACCTATGGTCCCAGCTACTGAGGAGGCTGAGGCAAGAGAATCACTTGAGCCCAAGAGTTTGAGGTTGGTGTGAGCTGTGACACCGTGGGACTCTACCCAGAGCAACAAAGTGAAACTGTGTCTAAAAAAAACAAAAGAAAGAAAGAAAAAGAGAACAGCAGCTCAGGCGCAGTTGCTCATGCCTGTAATCCCAGCACTTGGGAGGCCAATGTGGTTGGATTGCCTGAGCTCATGAGTTCAAGACCAACCTGAGCAAGAGCAAGACCCCATTTCTAAAAAATAGGTGGGCTCTGTGGCAGGCACCTGTAGTCCTAGCTACCTGGGAGGCTGAGGCAAGAGAATTACTTGAACCCAAGAGTTTGAGGTTGCTGTGAGCTCAGATGCCATGGTACTCTACCAAGGGTGACCAAGTGAGACTCTGTCTCAAAAAAAAAGAGAGAAACAGTGGTAGTTTTCTCTTCCTCTTCCTTTTTGCTATTTTCTTAGGTTTAAAAAACAGGGATGGCAATTGGGTGGAGAAGAGTAGGTAACAGAAGTAGAAATAGGATTTTTTTCTTCCCCTTTTGTCATCAGCTTTTTCATAGCAGAGTTATATCTGCATTAGAAAGGAAGGAAATTCCTAACAGCAGCAGGAAGGGAAAAGGACTCTTATGGTCTTTAGGAAGCCTCTAGTGTCAGAAGTATAGAATATATGTGTCAGTAGATAACAGAAATTCTCTGTGCTAAAAGTTGGTTACATGAAGAATGGGCTTAAGTGGATTCCCACTGCTGAGTTGTGTGGATGATTAATCTGACCTCATGAGATTGAATGAGTTCTTTATTTCTACCTTTTCTCTTGTTGTTCTGGCAGGATAATCTAGAAGGATTCTTATTCTTTGATTCCAGGAAGGAAAGCCTGATCTCTAGTCTACACTGTCAAGACTACCTTGAAGGGTTATATCAAGAATTTCTGTCTGGGTGGCGCCTGTGGCTCAGTGGCTAGGGCGCCAGTCCCATATACCAAGGGTGGTGGGTTCAAACCCGCCCTGGCCAAACTGCAACAAAAAAATAGCCAGATATTCTGGTGGGCCCCTGTAATCCCAGCTACTCGGGAGGCTGAGAATTGCCTATGCCCAGGAGTTGGAGGTTGCTGTGAGCTATGAACACCACAGTGTTCTACTGAGGGCAATAAAGTGAGACTCCATCTCTAAAAAAAAAAAAAGAATATCTGAGCTAGAAAAATGTACTTGAGGTGATACATTTTGTTTTTGCTTCTACCCTAATCTAGATTATCTTTTGTAGATTAGGAATTAGCTCTGGGAATCCTTAAGGTATACAAATTTCTTCTAATAGAAGAGCTATACAAAAACTCCCCATTGGGAAAGCACTTTTTTCCATTTCTTATTGGAAGCTCTGGTTGCCATGTTGTTCCTTTGCTTTGTTCTCCCCCAAAGCCAAATAATCCTCTTTACAGACTTGAGGTTTCATGGACATCCTCATCACCCTTAGGTGATTGCCTACTCAGAACATCGTTACCGCATCTTTGGGGAAACCATTGATATTGCTGTGGGTAATTGTCTGGATCGTTTTGCACGGGTGCTGAAGGTAAGCCATTGGGGCTGCTGAGAGCATTAGATGTGGGTGAATTTCTGGGAAGCCGTGGAAGTGGAGGCAGGGAGTAGTAAATAAGCTTAGGCTTTCTGTATATTTGATTTATCCTATATATTTGATTTATCCTCTTCTATTCACTTCTATATTATTTTTTTCTTCTACTAGATTTCCAATGATCCAAGTCCAGGCTACAACATTGAACAGATGGCAAAGCGGTAAGGGGACATAAGGTGGAAGGAGGCTGGCAGCTTGGGCTTCAGGGATTTCCCCATATACGGTATATATTAAGAAGGTTTGGGAGGGGTTTTGGATGGTGAGCAGTCAGCTGGCTAAATGTTTAGTGCCTTATACACTCATTCCCACTTAGAGGCAAGAAACTAGTTGAGTTGCCATACACTGTAAAAGGGATGGACGTCTCATTCTCAGGCATCCTGTCTTTCATTGAGGTGAGTATTGACTTGAGTGTGAGAGAGGTGAGACAGGGGTATTTCATGCTTTTTTTTTTTT